TTTTGACATTTGACATTTTTTCATATCTATTTAATGATACTGATGTACTTGTATATGTTTTTTTATAATTATTTAGTAAATATATAAAACTTTTACCAATAAAAGCCACAAATAACATTAAACAGAGACACAATTCAGCTTACAGCTTCCTTGTTTCCTCTTTTAATAGTTTGTAGCAAAAAAAACTTGGAAAAGTATTTTTTCAACAGAAATAAGTAGAGTCAAAGTGCAAAATTTAAACTCTCATAACTTCGAAATTTTAATAGATAGAATTTTTTTAACATTTTTTCCATGTTCCTGGTATCTTACCTTACATAGCATTTTACTCTGGGGAGCGAGTTCTGGCGCATCCTGTATAGGTAATAGAAATCACATCTACCTATACAGGCTGCGCCTATGAAAATTTCGAAGTTATGAGAGTTTAAATTATGCACTTTGACTCTATTTATTTCTGTAAGAAAAATAATTTTCCAAATTTTTTTGGTACAGGCTTTTAGAAGAGGAAACAAGGAAGCTGTATCCTAAATTGTAACTCTGTATAAGCTTATATGTGGCTTTTACTGGCAAAATTTTTGTACTTTTATTAAATAATCGTAAAAAACATATACAAGATCATCAATATCATTAAATAGGCATAAAAAAATGTCAAATGTCAAAAAATAAATGTCAAAATTTTTTGAAAGACAAAATATTTTAAACATTTTTTTCATGTTCATGTTCATGTGGTATCTTATCTTACTTGAAATTTTTCTCTGAGGCGCGAGTTCTAGCGCAACCTATATTTTACCAGTTTTGTGACTGCTTTGAAATGATATTATAAAATAAAACAACTAGAATATTAAGTTTTTAAGCAATTGTGTGTGTTTGTTTTATTTTATTTTATTTTCCAGAAAACAAATTTTCTGTAGTTTTATTTTAAAATCACTTGGCGTTTTAAGACGAATTGTAGAATTCTAAAAATGACAAATAAATAAACATTGGTTAATGTTTTTAACTTTAAGAATTTTTTTTGTTGGCGGGATATGTTTGGTTTTGATATTTACAAAATGGAGTTACACACAATTGACTAAAAATAAAAATTTCAGTTTAATTTAGTCTTAATTTTCTGAACGTTGAATGTAAATAAATGGGCAGTTATGGTTGTAATTGTTTGAAACGCAGCCTTTTGGCCGTTAAAAGCTCCATGTACACCGATATAAAACCCACGAATACGACCAAAGATATAATTAAGATAATAGTACTGGCAAGATGAGATTGTGTTGGACATGCGGGCAAAAGCCACGACAGGTGAAACGATCGAAGTACGAGAAAAGCACCAAGATAAAACCTCAAAGAATTGTTTGAACATTTTTTGCGAAATTAGTGCCGCATCTGTGGTAGGAATAAAACGTCGTATTTAAATTCTGACGCCAGATCCTCATCGGCCAGTCCCCCAACACTTTTCAGAAATATTCCTCTCGGGGGGTGTAAGAACGTGCGAAGAATTCTTAGTAAGCTTTTGATATGAACATATATTCTCGACGAGCCTGCCACTCGGGCTAAATTAAACCCAAACCAACAATCCAACCAACATTTTCATATTTTCACTACGGCGATGCATTTCATTACTGCATAAATTGCAAAACAAGTGTGACACAATTTTCGATCAAATTTGCTTGACACACTTCGTAAAATTTGCTCGAATAAAGACTCGGAAAGTTCACACCTGTCTGGTAATTAAAGCATTACGAAACAATTAACTGTGTTCATCAGAGATTAGGTTTTACTCTTTTATCAGCCGGAAAAACACTGGCGGAAAATGCGCGCAAATTTTTTTGACAGCTGAATTAATTGAAATTAGTAGTTCAACAAAGCATGTGGTGCTTTTGATCATGAAGTCAGTATTCTAATTGCTACCACTGACTAAACTAAACACTAACTACGTCGTCTTGTTTATATGAAATAAACGGTGATTAAGCACTTTGACTGTTGATGTATAATACTGAACGTAACGATTATTACGGAACGATTTTATGAAACTTGTGTTTCTTGTTTTATAAGAACTAACTTTTGCTACTTTAACGCCAAAAGTAAAGTTAGAATTGTAATTAAATAATAATAAAAGATAACATCCCGGCGCATCCACCAAATTTACATTTATTCTTTAACCCGACTCTCCCGGCATGGTTTTATTAACTGAGTTATACATTTTGTGATTTTTTTCAAGAAAATAAAACGTAAGCCAGACTTAAACTTTTAGATACGCTATAATACATTATTTGTTTCATTATTATTTTCCTTGAAATTATAACATAATTCTTTTCATACTTTGTCAAATTTGGACATTGTTCTAGAACCATCTTATATTTCTTATAATAATGTAACTTACATTCAAATATGTACAGTATGTTTTTGGACTGAGTTTACAAGAGGAATTTCAATAGAATAACATTTTGTCTAACCTGAAACGAGCAAATTTATAATTAAAACTTTATTATTCTGGTTCAGAAGAAAGTATTTTTTTTATTTTGGATATGTAAATTTTTTTTCTGTTTTTGAAGTTTCACTTCATTGACGGTTTTATGTGTTTGACAACGATGTTACTTTCACAATTAATTAACTAATTAAATTAAAAATCTTGTTAAAAATGACTTGGTTTTTTATCTTAAAGTTGTTTCTTTGAATTGCAATTTATTAAAAGTATGTTTTTTACAAACACTTTTGTTATTTAACTTGCGTAAGCTGATTTGTCAAAGTAGGATCGTTGTCAAACAAATAGAACCGCCAACTTGATGATTCAAAATCAAGAGAAAAAATAAGATTTTGTGTACTTCTATCAAAACGGTTAAAGTGGTTTTTTAACCGCAGTTGAAATGTATACTTCAATTCCTGGGAGTTGAAATGTCTACAGGGGCGGTTCAACCGAGTCAAATATGAAGTCATTAGAAGCATATTACACGATAAAATTACGATTTATTTACCAATAATTACATAAATCTATCTCTACTAAAAAAACTTCGAAACACGCGAAATGACAAAATTATTACCCAATATTTAACCGCTGCCACTATGTTGTAACACCAGTCGCCCAAACACATGGATAACAGGTGTCAAAATCAAAAATAGCAAGATGCCCGTTTAAGCTTAAAAAATAAACAGAATTCAAATTTCCGTTATATTGAAATCCGCTTGTAGATAAAATAGTAAGTATATTTCATTCAGATCATAAGGTCTTTTTGTGTTTCGCATTGTTTCACTCCGCCTTCAATCGCTGAGCTTGGTACATACAAACAGACTTACTTCTATTCTTAATGATATAATCTAACATTATTTTATTATAGATTTCCTTGTTTTGCTAAAGCAAGAAAGGTTTTTCTTTTGTAGTTTTGGCATAAACTTTAAAATTATTTTTCCTCTTGTAAACTTATACTGTAGTTTGTGATATCAGTATTTTTTAAAAACATAAGACATGCAGAAAGAATAAGTGTTAATTTTTAACCAAAACAAAAAAAAAGCAAGTTTGACCAAACAATTGTACTAGAATAAATAATTCACCTGTCAGGGCTTTAATTAGATTTTTATTATTATGATTATGACCAACTACTCAAACGCCGAATTGACTTGTGTACGAGCATCACTTCCAAAATCGATTTTCACTAAATGTTTGAGCAGGGATCATCGAAGATCACCTAATTTGACCCCACATTTTACTTCAACTAGTGCCACTTATTGGGATTTTTTGGAAAATTTGTTTGTCGATCTGGTGGAGGACGTGCCCTTGGCGACACATGTGGTATTTACAAAATGGAGCTTCATCACATTATGTCAGAGTCGTCATTAATTAGTTCTCGAAAGTTGGATTGGTCGCCAAGGTTCAATTGCATGGCCACCGCGGTCACCAGATTTAACTCTGTGATTTTTTTGTGGGGTCACATGAAACAATTAGTGTACACAGCTCAAATTAATACTCTCGCAGGGCTGTGTGTGTGAACTCAAGCTTCCAGAAGGGTACAAGTGTGCATTGCTAACGAAGGACCACATTTCGAGCAATTTTTTATAACAGCAAGTATTGACCCACAAACACTGACACTGATCTACTTCAATGCAGCGATATTTTTTTTGTCCTTACGCTGCTTACGTTCCATAGTTTTTTCTTTAAAACGAATGTAAACATTAAGGTATAGGCGGAGACGAGTTTTCGGCCTTAATTTATTTTAAATTTTAACTCAGACATGACGTGTTTTCGACAAAAGTTGGAAAAAGAGGTTGTTTTTATTTGCTCGCAATCGCGAACACCTGTACATAGTCCTATAAATATAATTTTGCAGCGTAAAACTCAGTGATTAAACCGTAAAAACTTTTAGCATATTTGGTTATGGCATAACATATTTTATTAGTTGCATTTTTTTCCTCTAATTACTGTACTGAAACATTATTAATATTAGAATAAAAATAAACGGAAAATTATTACTTCTTTAAATTAATACTAGTTATAAGTTTTTATTAGATTCTAATAATTAACGTATTAGATATCTAACTAATATTTTCTAAAGCGATAATTTTTTCAATTGTGTTGATTTGTTGTTAACTTTTTATACAGTTTTTTTTTAAATTGCTGTAGTGTTTGTTTGTTTAACAATTGTTTGGTTGTGTTTTTTTTAACTCATTTAAATTACATTTTAATACAAAAATTATTAATTTTGCCCGGCGCCTCCACCATTTTAGCGTAAATTTGTGTAACAAGATAATTACCGTTCTTATCCAATAACAGTCTATTTTTTGCTCTACTTGATAATTTAACTCCGTTTAAATTCGTCCAATTAGACCCTTTGAATTTCCTTCATTAATAACTAAATTGTTTGTTCCTTAGCTAATGTCTCTCAGAATCATGCATCTTTCATCCTACCTTACCACATTCGGAATCCCATCAAATACCCTTCGTGGGTGTCAACACTGGGCGTAATCCACTCCGTCCAGCGGCTTACATTGCACTACATTTACTTTTATATTACTGTCACCAGGCCAGTTGGAATTAATGGCACGTGAAATCGATGAATTTATATCCATGTAGCAAAAACATTAGATGGTTATATGGACTGAATCGAGCGCGTTTTCTGTATTAGTGTCAGTTTGTACGCTACACTGCTCTTACTTCCGTCTAAATTATTATAACGCGTGCACATCGAACGCGCTTGTAAATTTATCAATCGTCGACGATCGACGAAAATGTAATAAAAACAATAAAATAAAGCCGGTGGCATGGAAATGAAACAGATGGTAACAACGGTGCAGACATGAACAAGATCACGTTTCTACGAGATGAAATCCTATACTGCTGCTGTTTCACGTTAAATAAAGGCTAGTTGGGACAACAATCGTCATGGGAATAGAAAAATGGCCACTGTTCTTGTTTATTTTCCTTCTGCACTTTTTCAACTTAGTGGAAGCCCAAGGTAAGTCGTTAAAACAAGAAAATTAAAAAAATATATTTATTTTTGCTATATTTTTTTAAATCTTTTAACAAGTTTTTTAACAAAGAATTATGTGAAATAAGGTTATTTTAAAATGACTGCGGGAAACGCTACCTGATACTTTAGATGTATGCAAATAATTACTTTTCATATTTCTTGAAAAGTGAAGCTTGTAACTGACCCTCGAGCTTGCAAACAGATAAAACAATAGTTCTCGTCGTAAAGGAACCAAATGAAAGCAGTTTAGAACAGTGGCATCAAAAGCTGCAGCAAAGAACTTGGATGTTTAAACAGTTACAAAAACCATCATACACGCTTACAAAATGTCGCAATAAAAGTCTCAAAGCTTTATACTGCGAAAACAATCTACTCTACTTGCCGGGAAATTGAGTACTTTATTTAAAGACAAACTAGCTTGGAATGAAAATCACCGATAATTACAACAGCAATTATTGTTTTACGATATCGTTCGAATTGCAGGTAATAATCGGATTTGTGCACTGTGTTATTTGCTCTTTATGTCCAATAGAGCAGCTTTAGAAACGGTCGCGTGTTTGTCAATATAAAAATAATTGTTTGTGTTAAGTGTTACGTGACCAGATTAGACCGGAAGTGTCAGATGCATACCTATACAGAGTGCGCCAAAACTCGCGCCCCAGAGAAAAATGACATATAAGGTAAGATACCAGGAACATGGAAAAAATGTTAACATTTTTTTATCTAGTTGTAATTCACTCGAAACGATAATCTAACGGATAAATGACAAAGACGACGGATGTTGGGCTTTATGTTTTGCGCAGAGATATACAAGATGTCCGAAAAGTCGCGCACCTCCGTGACACTGTATCATCGGACGATACCCTAGACAACAAAAAAAAATGTTAAAAAAATCTATCAATAAAAATTTCTAAGTTATGAGAGTTTAAAATTTGCACTTTGACTCTATTTATTTCTGTTGGAAAAATAATTTTCCAAGTTTTTACAGGCTATAGGCTATTAAAAGAGGAAGCAAGGAAGCTGTATCCTAAATTGTAACTATGTTCAACGTTATTTGTGGCTTTTATTGGCAAAATTTATGTCTCTTTAATAAATAATTGTCAAAAAACATATACAAGATCATCAGTATCATTAAATGGATATAGAAAATGTCAAATGTCAGAAAATAAATGTCAAATTTTTTTGACAGATAGAATTTTTTAAACATTTTTTTCATGTTTCTGGTATCGTACCTTACTTGAAAATTTTCTCTGGGGTGCGAGTTCTGGCGCACCTGTATAAACACAAGTCATTAATTTCATTTTAATAAAACTAGAAATACAATTATTTAAACATCACTACCTAGTTTGAATTGGAAATTTAGGTATTATTTTTAGACACACGAGTGCTCTTTATGTTTTGCGGCTTTCAAAATGAACAATGATTATTTTGGTACAACTTGATAGCTTTGAAGTGTGATATGAATAGAATTGGAGACATAAAAATGATTGGTGCTACATATGGCTTGTTAATAGACAAATTTTTGTTGGAACATAACAGTATGCTAAAAAAGCAAAAATGTACCAGTATATCATTGCTAAAATTATTATTTGGAAAATAAAAATTCGATGTGAAAAAACGTTAACTATTTTTCTTCATATGTTTATTTTACGAGTAAAATTTAAATAAAAGAGGAAAACGTAATTTTGTAAAACATAGTGTTGATATTTTTCATAAAATCCTTTTTGTCTCTGAGAAGCCTCAAAAGGATTTTCCTAACTTATACTAATTGCTCAAATTCTGGTTATTCTACTGAAAATACTGATTTTAATTTTTTGTTTGCATTAATGTTTTAATTATAAAGGCGTTAAAATCCGCTTCATTTAATAACAATTTCAAGCATCCCTTTGCGTACTTTTTCGCGCACTTGAGTTATTAAAACGACAATAAATTTTTAACTTGACTCTTTCATATAAAACCTTATTCTTCTTTATATAACGAAATTTTATTCAAGCGATAAGCATTTAAGGAAATTCCGGCTTGAAATGCGGATAAAATAAAACTAACATAATTAATTAAATTTTCGGTTTCTCTCAGTCGATGACTTTAAGATGGTTTCTCATATTTCAGCTTTTACAACGTATTATCTTGAGAGAAAGCAAAAAAAAAACTTTAGTTTGAAGTGTAAATTCAAAGCTTTTAGATTTCCTGCCCGTAAATACAAAAAATTAAATAAATTCACACTTTTTCGCCTCGACGTAAAAACACATATTGCAACGGCCACGTGACGTAATATCGCCATTGGACGCCATTTTTCTACGTGATTAAGTCCAGACGACCCTTTATTTTCTCTCTATAAATTCCCATTTTTCGTCGCCATCTTGAATATTGAATGTAAGTGTCTAAGCGGACATTACTAGGTGGGCGTGTTGCCGTCGTTCATCATTTTTTTCCGGACATTTGTTATTTATCATATTAAAATCGCAGGTTATAACCTTGTTAAGGACGAGTTTGATTAATGTACCAATTAAAAATCTCGTTCTGTTTTAATCTAATTATAAGGTTATCGATCATTTATTTATGTTGGGAATTTTCACGAGATAACTAAAAAAAAATGACGCCGGATACGAACAACATACAAATGAGAGGGATGGCTAGGCAGCTATTAGAAGACATAATACATCGCTGAATTCATAATGAACTCTTTTTACAAATCGATAAGATGAATAAATTGAGGATTAAAAAAAAATAAAGATGCAGAAGAGTAATTAGGAAATTATTGATTGTTGGCGGCGAAAGAAAACGGCTTTAATAGAAATTTATTTCAAACAAGAAATCCTAAATTTTCATGTCTTTATAAAAAGAAGGTACTAATAGACTACTAACACTACAAGATATACCTACCTACGTATTTCCAAAGCATTTTGTAGTACACTAACAAAACGCAATTCTAAATAAAAAAAATATGCTATAAGTTTAATTTCACTTTTAAAACACACATTTATCGAAAATACTTAAGTTTTCACGTAACTGTGGTAAAGTTTGTAATATTGAGTTTTCTAAATAACTAAACATTCATAGTTTATTATACAAGACGATAAAGAAATTGTTTATCTACGAGTGAAAAGCTTAAGTTTACGAGTGACGAAGTGACGAGTGGACTTCTTTCACGAGTACATAAATAATCTTTATCGTCGTGTATAATATTTCGTTTTATTTTGTATTCATCTACTAGAATTTCTTGAATTTAGACAATATATAAAAATTACTTTATTATAATTTATTATAAAAGACTATTTTATCTACTGAAATTAGTTGATAAAAGCACTCTTTAACACAGTAGAAAATAAAGTAAATTAAAATATCAAAATAAATTATTAGGAGTGTTTATTAGTAAGTATGTGTAGGCGCATGTAACTAGTACGATATTAATTTTAGTTTTTGGAATTTGGTACGATAATTTAGAGATCTAGAGAGTGCATTTATTTGACAAAGATGCTATAGACGCGAGCAAAAATTTTTGTTTTTAACATTTTACTTCTACTGTTTAATATAACAAAAATTTTATTGAAAAAAACGCGAAACTCATGTCATGAAACATGTATTATTGCATTTAAACCTGCCAAAGACTGTACACGAAAATAAAGCTGTGAGTGAAAATATGTCGAAGCGAGTTTACCGCGCTCACAAAAAAGTCACTGTGAATATAAAGCGCAATAACGATCTTAAAATTTTTAATATAACTTTTCTAATATAAATCCAAACTATTCTAAATTTTTACTCTATTCTGGTGTAAAGGCGAATGTCTCGCTAACATAGAATAGATAATATCACGCACCTGTCAAGCCTCGAATGGCTGTCATTTATATTAGCGATGGACCTCAAATGGCTTTGTAGTATTTTTATGCTTGACGTGGAACAGTTTATATAACTTATTATGTTGTGGCTTGCCTTTTCATCTTGTCTGTCGCACACTATCATTTCTTATTTGTTTTTTTTTCTCGTAATATTACAAACCAGCCGTTTGCAGTCTGACGGTCTTCTTTTCAGTCTGTACTTTGGATTTATTAGACGTCGACGACTCGACAATTACCACAGATGGTGGAGTTTTCATATTTGGAGATGCGACCAATTCATTTCGGCAACCATTTAATTTTTCACTAATTGACGTCTGTTTATATAAACATAAAACGGTTTTTTGTGTTATAAATAGGATCATTTCCATTAATTTCGTTCGAATTTACTTAAGAAGCTTACTTGCTCGTTAAATAAAACAAATGTAAGTGCGCTGTAAAAATAATGTGCGAAATTCAGTTTAGTTTATTACCGAACTGTTTAAAAATTACTCACCATAAAACTAGTTGGAATAATAAAATGATCATAAAGAAAATTTATAGTTAAAAAATCCGAGAAAAAACTGCTCGTAAAAGGTGGATGTAGAGAAACAAGATAAGCAATATGTGGATTTATAATGTAAATATTTCATAAATTCTGTGCAGAAAGCAATAAAACAACGAAATAGAAATGTGAAAGGATACTTAATAAATGATATAAAATGGAATTTTGTATTTACTCAACGAAAAATTAATTAGATTACAAAAAGCGGTCGGATGAAATGTGGATGTAATTAATATATGTAAATTATGAAAATTACTAAAATTTATTAGAAATTGTAAATTGCATTTATTTAGTTGAATTAAAATAAATAATTAAATAACTTGCATTTTCTTATTAAATCAATATTTGTGATGGAAGTGCCAAGATACGAAATTATTTAAAAACAAGATATTTACCAAAACAGATACACATTTTGGGTATGTACATTTAAGTACAAAGACTGTTTAATGTAGCCATATTTTTGCAACAAAACAGCTTCCACATTTGTGTCTAATTGGTAACAAGATTTCTCACTATTCGAGTTAATTAGTTTATTTTTGATTGTATCAAAAATTAAATAGGATGGGTTACTTTAACGGAGGCAAACAACAATTCCAAGTAATTTATTT